GCGCATACCTAATAAGCTTAATCACAGGAGCCCCCGCGACCCAATGTGCATCTGTTTTCCTTGTACTCACAGGAACCCCGTGGAGGTGGAACTGTTTCACAAAGTCACACAAGTCATACAGTGGCTGGGCTGCTGCCTCAATAACCAGCAATGGAGGAATCAGAAGGCGGCAGGCCAAGGGGAAACAGTTAGATATTGGCTGTGCACAGCGTGGAACACGACTTAAAGGCAACAGATATAAATGGTATCGACTCCGGTTGTTTATTTTACTTCACGCACTGGGAAATATCTTCGTGCATCACCTGCCTTGTACATACAGCTGTTTTCCCCGGTAACGAAATCAGAGATAAGGATGTACCAGCGCATCACAAGCCATCAATGATGTTGAAAGACGTTTTTTTCCGTTGGCAGCATCTCCTCTTCGCCCACGCCATATCTCCTGGACATTGTGCTGCGCGTTACTCACATGCACAGGGGTCATCAGATAATTATCAAAGCCACCACAAAATATCTTTAGGGATTTTCTCACATTGTTATCAAAATGAAACACAAATCCTGAGCAAGAGGAGTTAGAGCACTACAGAACTATAATGAAGTGAAACTGCAGCATTCCCTCTGAAGATTGTTCCCTGCCTCTTCTGCTTCTGCAGAGTTGTATTCAAATACACCTCCAGTCACAAAGTAAATAGATTGTGAGTTTCCGTGCTGCTTAACTTCTTTAATGCTCGGAGCAAAATGTGATGTTTCTGCTTCTGTTTCTCCCTTAAGACTTTCACTGACCCACTTTCCCTCATCCCCAGCCCCTTGAGGGTGTTCTGTGAATAAGGAATATTTACGGTGGAGTGTTTAGAATCAATCTGATATGATTAAGTAATGAGTTTGAAACGAGGCTGCATATGTGTATCCTCCGCAGTCTTAAAATCCCCACAATGCTTTGCGCACGGACCAATTTCCAAAATCTTTGGCGGAAATCGCGCTCCATTTAAGGCAGGGCCTCGCATATGACGCACACCTGTTAGCCTGTTCCACCATTCTTCGTTTTCCGAGGCTAGGAAGGATTCTTGCCTCGCTTCTGAAGGACCTGACTCGGAAGACATGTCCTCGACATTGAGAAACACTCAGTGGAATGGCAGTTCCATTCCCTGCATGCAGTTATTGAAGACTGCTAAGTACTTACTTAAGTAAATATTTTAGGTACTTGTACTCCAATTAGTATTTGCACTATTGAGTTATTTTCACTCTGTGCTACTTTAGACTTTTACTTCACTTATTTTTGGAGGCAATTTTTATTTTCACTCCTACATTTATTTTACAATTTTAGGTACTAGCTATTTGCAGATTGCAGATCAAGACGAATAATACAAAATCTAAATAATGCTGTACTGCTATAGGTTAAGAGCCCAGAAGTATATCAAGTAATTAAAATAAACCCCAACTTCAAGTGCAACATTGACATTTATAAATTAACAATTATAATATATTTTAGATATTATAATACAGGTATTGCAATCTTAAATGGGCAATACTGCATTATGAAAACTTTTTGTACTTGAAGTACATTTTGATGGCAATACTTTGGAATGTTTACTTGAGTCCAATTTTTAATGCAAGACTTTCATTAGTAAGTTAGTAACATATACTTTTTACACTGTAGTAATGCTACTTATATCGGATTACTTTTCCAACCACTGCCTGCATGCATACACGTTTAATTACCTTTTCTTGAATCCTGATAGATCTAGAATAATCTAAAAATGTTCATGGATTGACAGGCTGATTTAAAGAATAGAAATGAATAGATTTTAGTCTTATAGGATTCACCATTTACAAAAACATTATTTCCTTCACATGAAGCTATATTGCTACTGATAAACAGTAAGTGTTTCCTAAATAGGATTAGATTCTCTATGTGGCCGTAGCAGACTGGGTTTAGATTGTGTTAATGAGAGGGCAATGGGCAGCGCAAAGCTCACAGTGTAATAAAATAGTAGAGGCTCTAGGGAGGGAGGCGGAAAACCAAATTATGGCATCATGTTATTTTATTACTACTTTCTAATGTTTAATAAAAAATATGCAGTAAAACAATGGGTTTGTAGATTCATTAACAACCCTACTGTTTGCGATATACGTCACTAGAAGCCTGAAAGTTTAAGGAAAGAAAACAAAATGCAACAAAGTAATATGAAAAGTAATTAATGAAATAATTCATGTCATGAAGCATATGACTTATTATTATCAATCTGCTCCACTGGAGAGACACATAAAATCATCTAAAAAAAATATCGGATCAATCTGCAGTAATGAGAATGTAAACTTCCTCAAATAAATACATGACACAAACATAAATGTAATTCTGTCATTACATTACATTACATTGCATTGCATTTAGCTGACGCTTTTATCCAAAGCGACTTACAATAAGTACATTCGACCAGGAAGACACAACCTTGAAGAAAACAGAATCATATAAGTACATCAGGTTTCATAGAGCCAAAACATTTCAAGTGCTACTCAACTGGCTTTAGATAAGCCAGTCCTTTATTAGTATATAAGTGCTTTGTTAATAGTTCTATCGCTCGAAGTAGAGTCGAAAGAGATGAGTTTTCAGTCTGCGCCGGAAGATGTGCAAGCTATCTGCTGTCCTGATGTCAATGGGGAGCTCATTCCACCATTTAGGAGCCAGGATAGCAAACCCACGTGTTTTTGCCGATGGGAACTTGGGTCCCCCTCGCAGCGAGGGCGCAGCGAGTCGTTTGGCTGATGCAGAGCGTAGTGCACGCGCTGGGGTGTACGGTTTAACCATGTCCTGGATGTAGGAAGGGCCAGATCCATTCACAGCATGGTAAGCAAGTACCAGTATCTTGAAGTGGATTCTAGCAGTTACCGGAAGCCAGTGAAGGGAGCGGAGGAGCGGAGTGGTGTGGGAAAATTTAGGAAGGTTGAAGACCAGACGAGCCGCTGCATTCTGGATGAGCTGCAGAGGTCGGATGGCACATGCAGGTAGACCAGCCAGGAGGGAGTTGCAGTAGTCTAGGCGTGAGATGACGAGAGCCTGGACCAGAACTTGCGTCGCTTTCTGTGTCAGCTGGGGACATATCTTCCTGATGTTGTAAAGCGTGTATCTGCAGCAACGGGTTGTGGCAGCTATGTTTGCAGTGAAGGACAGGTTGTTATCTAGGGTCACACCCAGATTCCTTGCAGTCTGAGTCGGGGAAACAACTGAGGTGCCGATGTTGATTGTTAGGTCAAGAGTGGGACAATCTTTTCCCGGAAGGAAGAGCAGCTCAGTCTTGTCAAGGTTGAGCTTGAGGTGATGAGCAGACATCCACTGAGAGATGTCAGCTAGACAAGCAGAGATGCGTGCGACGACCTGGGTCTCTGAGCGGGGAAAGGACAGAATTAATTGGGTGTCGTCAGCGTAGCAGTGGTAAGAAAAACCATGCGGGCTAATGACTGATCCGAGTGAGTTTGTGTACAGGGAGAAGAGGAGGGGACCAAGAACAGAGCCCTGAGGGACCCCTGTAGTTAATTGACAAGGGTGGGACTCAGACCCTCTCCAAATCATCCTGTAGGTACGGTCTTTCAGATATGAGGTGAGGAGGGAAAGTGCAGAGCCTGAAACTCCAAGTTTTTGGAGAGTGCGAAGGAGGATCTGATGATTCACCGTGTCGAATGCAGCAGACAGGTCCAACAGGATGATGACAGAGGAGAGAGGGATGCAGTTTTGGCAGTGTGCAGTTCCTCAGTGACAGCAATGAGAGCAGTTTCTGTGGAGTGACCTGCCTTGAAACCAGACTGGTGCGGATCCAGAAGGTTGTTCTGATTGAGATAACAGGAGAGTTGTTTAAAGACAGCGCGTTCAAGTGATTTAGACAGGAACGGGAGGAGAGAGACAGGCCTGTAGTTTATAACATCAGACGGGTTGAGAGTAGGTTTCTTTAGGAGAGGGTTTACTCTTGCCTCCTTGAGACTGTTTGGAAAGTGACCAGAAGTTAGAGAAGTGTTGATGAAATGGGTGAGAAATGGTAGAATATCAGGAGCGATAGTCTGAAGGAGGTTTGAAGGGATAGGGTCCAGAGGACAGGTGGTAGGGCGGGCAGAGGTAATGAGGGTAAGAACCTCACTTGGAGAGAGAGGGGAAAAGGAGGTTAGTGTGTTGGTGGAAGGAGGGTCTGGTGACCCAGCGGTGAGTAAAGGTGAGTCAGAAAAAGAAGAGCGAATATCATCAATCTTTTTTTCAAAGTGGGTAACAAAGTCGCTTGACAGAAGTGAGGAGGGGGGAGGAGCTTTTGGAGGGTCCAAGAGGGTGGAGAAGATGGAGAATAGTTTTTTAGGATTGGAATAGGAAGATTGGATCTTATCTTGAAAGAAAGTGCTTTTTGCCTGAGAGATCGAAGCAGAGAAAGAGGAGAGGAGAGCCTGATAGGTTAGGAGGTCGTCATGGTGTTTGGATTTCCACCATTGATTTCTATGTTTTTCACTGTTGGAGGTGTGACTCTTTTAAAGAGGCATATTATGCTCATTTTCAGTTGGGAAATAAACTGCCTCTGGAGGGAACTTTACCCTTTGCAGACCATTTTACATGCACAAAAACCTACAGGACAAGCCTATTTAAATACTGTTAAAAGTTAAGTTAAGCTATATTTGGTTGAAAACTTTGAAACGCAAAGCCATAGAATAATACCCACACTTGACATATCTGGTCCCAAATTGCAATTGACAAAATCTAACTTGGAACAACTTGCTTGCAATATCTACTTCAGATTTAATCTGATTTAAAGAATAAGAAATCCACAACACTCACCACAGTATGTGGGAGAAAGGTCATTCAAATACCAAGCATTGCTTCCACCATAAAAGAGCCATGGATCTCTCACAGTTAGACTGCTGTTTATTTTCCTTCCTGTCAATTTAGCTTTGAAACTGTTTAACTTTCTCATCAGACATTTGATCAACAGGTCTCAGTATTGATTGCTATACTTCTTTGTCTTGTTCTGCAGGTGATTTTGATGCTGACCAAACTATTTGACTTCAACCTCAACAGTGTGACAGAGAGTTCATTATGGAGGTAAGCATATCACACCACACGAGCTCGTAACATTTCTAGAAAAGCCTAGAGCAGCTGTGAGTTCGACACACTGGGTCAGAGGGGACTGCTGGACTTATTTCAATATATTTTTTGATGTTTTCATTCCTGTGGTGTGAAAACCTCCCGGCACTGTATTTAGTAATACCAACACTCACAAGGTTTACATGATGTGGATGAATGAGACATTCAAAGCTTGAAAACGAGGCAACAGTCAAAAAATGATCTCCAAAACAGCGCGTCTGAGTTGCCGACTGTCTTCAATTGGTTTTAATGTCTGTGGGCACAATAAATCCTTCACATGAAAACCAATAATCATCGTGACTTGAGCTTGCAAAGTTATCCAGTAAATTACCTCGACTGGCCTTGAACGCAGCGTTGCCTTCCTAAGAGCCTCAGTCGCTCTGACTCCAACCTGATGTAACTTTGGAGGGAAAGGAGATGCATAAATCAGAATCAAGAATATCTGCAAGTCACTGATTATCAAATGTATTTGGTATTACAAGTGTTGTCTATAACCTGTAATACAATGGAACAATCCTCTGTAGGAAAATCAGACGACCAAACAATGACAAGTAACATGTAGAAATAAGCAAACTATCTAACATGTATTGTACATAGTTTACTTATGCCTGCATATTTCTTGCACCATTGTATCACTTATGATTATTTTTTTTAACTATTTTATTTCCTTATTTCTTTTGCCTTTGGTTTATTGTATGTTGCAAAGTTGGGGGGTGAGGCCTTATACGTCCATTGCCAACAACTACTACAGTGTAGCATTGCACATAACAATACAAAGTTGAAATCTTTAAAAAGGGCATCAACCCAGTCTCACATCCAAATGTCTAATAGCTTTGTAGTAGTGATGTAGTAGTTTCACCATAACGCCTCTGAAATTGTCAGATTGCTACTTTTTCCCCCATTATTTTCTAATGGCCAGCATACATGTCGCATGATCATCAAGATTATTATTCCCAATAGAAATGCAATTTGTTGGGATATTTTTTACATTAAAATGTGTTTTGATTACAAAAAAAGTACATTTTACTTAAGGAATGCTCCACTCATTAGATAATTAATCAAAACTTCAGTATTTAGTGAAACATTATGTTTAAACCATACCCTGAAGAAATCAGCGATATTCCCCGGTAAATAATGATTTTATAGCTCTTTTTTATCAAAACCTGTATATTCCGTCAGGCCGCTGCCATTTTGGCCATTTTCAGTAGTCACGTGATGGTCGTGACGTTATCCATGCGTTCACTTTGTAAACACACGAAAACATGGAGGAGTATTTGAGTTCGGACTCGTCAGCCGAGGAAGAAGTTTTGAGCAATATGAAGAGATTGGATGGGGGAATTCAGCCATACAGGTTCGAGCCTACTTAGTACTACTTAGTAGATACAATGATTTTGATTACTAGATATGTATGCATGTAGTACCACCCTTGCTAGCGATTCCCTCTCTAGTTTAGCATACTCAGCCTCGTTGTCCCTGGCCCTAGAACCACGATTTTATGGGGCCGGAAAAACTGGGGGAAAATACCCACTAGCTGGTACTACGCTATATGGAAAGGCCACCAAAAACTGGCCTGGCCTGGACGATAAAGGACGTTTAAACGGGGCTACCCGCTGCAATGGAAATGCGCTATAACATACCTTATTCTTACTCCGAGCACTACTTCTGGTCCTCCGTCGCTTCACACTTGCAGAGGGCGATTTCTCAACTGGCCGAACTGGTGTCCTGGTCGGTGATGACACCAGAAAGACCGATGGCACTGCATCTCCATTAAGTAATGATTGTTCAATAAATCCCATGTTATGTTTTATCATACTCTCAGAGTAGTCGTCCGGAAACTTGAAATGTTCGCTGCATACATGCGCCTGTGGATCTTTCGGTTCGGGCCGGCCACATTTCGCTAGCCACTGCCTCCGAACGTACTTCCTACGCTTACCTTTTGGCAACAGATGGAACCGAGCATTCCGTGGATTGTTCCTATCAGAATTGTGGCAATGTTTCGCGATACAATGAGGCATATTTGAAGAGAGTAACTACAGTAAATAACATGAACATCCACGTGTCCTCCAAACCAAACGCATGGTTTACGTCACGTCCGGTAAAATGGCGCCGCCCACAGTGTTGATGTTATTTCGGTAATTAATCAGTTTAAAATCACTGATAATGTCATCGGATTAAAAAAAAAAAAAAAAACTGGCAGAGACTGGTCTGTTTTATCGGATGATAATTATTTAAAAATGAGTGTCATGAGCCATGACACCATTCCTTTAAATTAAGGTTTTTCAGTTGATGTCGGGGCGGTTTTGGCGCAGTGGTTAGAGCGTTGGTCATCAAATCAAGGGGCGTTGGTGAACTCCAGTTCAAATCCCACCTCGGCCGCCACTGCGTCAGGCCGTTGTGTCCTTGGGCAAAACACTTTACCCACATTTGCTCCTGTGGGTAATGTCCGCAGTAATGACTCTTACATGTCTAATATGTGTAATGTGTACTTGTAAAGCGCTTTGAGCACCTGTAAAAGCGCTCTAATAAAAAATGTAATGCATTATTATTATTATTATTATTATTATGTGTATGACAGTTATACAGTTATGACAGTTGGACAGTTATACCGTATCATTTTGTAGGTCTCTTAACAAAATGTTAAGCAAAAATGTTCATGGTTGCCAGGGTTGTTGCTAAGGGGCTGGTATAGAGTGGTGCTAGAGTGGTGTAGGCTGAGCATTGTGAAGTAAGCATCACAAGGGCTCTCTCTACAAAAAGCAATAGGATTTTTAGATTGGATTTTGAAATATTGCATAAAAATGACATCTATGGCAAACACACTTTCACGATACTTGAACATTTTTCAGCAGGTTAACCTCCACATATTAACAGAACTTTTATGAGTAAATGCGATTACCAGAAATCAAAAGCTTACCTTAGAACAGGGGTGACCAAACATTTTTCACTGAGGGTGATAAAGATACATATATATAAAGTAGGGCCGTTACTCGATTAAAAAAATGAATCTAATTAATTAGAAGCTTTGTAATTAATTAATCGAAATTAATCGCATTTTTAATCACATATAAATATTTGACCTAAGAACAGTGAGAAGCAATTTTTTTCACATGGATTTTAGTATACCATTAGGCGCATTCACACCGCAGTACTTTTCCCACAAAGGTTCATGAGAATTTAGTTCATGAGAACTCTTTGAACCTGGGGGAGGATTAGGCAAATGAAGCCACTGACGTCACTTCTTCTTCTTCTGCTTTGGGTTTACTGGCAGGCCGCAAACCACTTCACGGCGTATACTGCCGCCCAAAGTCCCCGGCCGGAAGTCCCCGGAGTTAGGGACTGGCTTCAGTAGAAGCTGCTGGGACTCCCAGCAGCTTCTACTGAAGCCTTCCGAGTAAATCGCCAGAACGCCGACACCTCCTCATCTCCACCGCTCCCATGTTTTATTTTGTGTTGCCATAAGTTAGTCTCTCTGCGTTTCTGCGCTGGGCTAATGCTAATAATGCTAATGCGAGGATAATAAAATGGCGGCTTCACAAAACTTTTTGCGAGTTTTACGGGGCGTGGTTTGCAATCCGCCCAGCCAATCAGAAATATAGCTATTTTCTCACAAGAGAGCCGTACGAAAGTCCCTGCTCTCTAGCAGCTCTCTGCTCTCTAGCAGGGACTTTCGTGGGGGTAAAAAGGTTCTCATGAACTAATTTTAGTACCGGCTCTTTTTGGTGTGCACGCGATAAAAGAGGCTAACTTCCACGCTAGCTTCCACGCTAGCTGCTATATGTTTTGCATTGAGGTGATACTTGAGGCTTGATGTGCTGCGGTGATATGCGAATTCCTTTTTGCATAATTTGCACACAACCGTGCTCTTATCAACGCTTCCATCCGTCCGTTTTTTAAAACAACATTTCCCACTGTTGTTCACTGTGGTTTGTTGTTGTCTGAAGTCATGAACGTTAGTTGGTGCTCCAGTATAATCGGTACGCCTGAAACTCATCCAGTGAGAAACGTTCCGCGGTGCAAAAATAAGTGCGATTAAAATGCGTTAATTTTTTTAACGCGTTAATTTTTGTGTAATTAATTAATCTTAATTAACGCGTTAAAGTCCCGGCCCTAATATAAAGATATAAAGATACATAAAGATAAAAGAAGGGCCGGGCCACTCACCAGAGATGAGGTATATTGCCTCATAAGTTAAGATATAAGTTAGAAAAATTCTATTATACTTTTGGAATTTGCTTTTAATTTACAATAAAAAATGGATCACGGGCCGCAGTTGGCCCTCAGGCCGTAGTTTGGACACTCCTAAAATAGACTAGGGTAATTAAGTGGATTTTTTGTTGTCGAAAAAACTTGAAAATAACATACCTTGTGGACCTTATTGCTGGCATCTAATCCAAAAATACATTAAAAAAAACATTAACTTTGAGACAAGAGAACCAAAAGTGTGTAAATGCTAACTTGTTTCCCTGTTAGCAGACTCATTCCTGCACCAATTGCTTAGTTTAATCAAAATGCACATGACGGCTGGCCTATAGAAATGATTCAGGGGAAAACAGTAACCGTCTCATGATTCTACATCTAGCACTGTGGAACAACTTAGCTATAATACATTTCAATGGGAGAAAATGTTGGAAGGACGAGTAAATAAGTAAAGAAAGAAACAACTTATCAGCTAAATGGAGTTCATTCTCTCTACATCTTACTGTATTCTTTTTGACTGCCATATTTCTCCGGTGAATGTTTTTTTCCTAAACCACCTTGGATACTATTTAACATTGAAACACTTGTGATGTGCAGCTCTGTGATCTTCCCAACTGAACTTTGGGTATCACTTTATATTAAGGTACAGAAATTAACCATCAACTAGTTGTTAATTACCATGCATATTAGCAATATATTGGCCCTTTATTAGTCATAATAAAACACTTATTAATGCCTTATTCTACATGACCATATTCTAC